CCGGGTGTCTTGCTTGCCTGCCCCTACGCTGGGCCCCCGTGTTGTCCGGCCCCCCCCCCCCCCCCCCCCCCCCCCCCCCCCCGCGCCTCGCCACCCGATGTTCGTCGCCGTGCTTGAGGGGTGACGTACGTTTGGGCAATCCGATCGCGCGCGACTCCCAGCAGATGCAAGCTACTGATGGTGCTTCGGACGAGGGCCTCCTCATCGCGGTTTTGGGGCGACAACAGTGACCCGAAGGAGGGAGCCTCCAGGATGGTCTGAATGCGCTGCCCCTTCTGCAGGGCATCGCCAATGCGTGCCTCGGCCTCGGGGAGATGCTGTGCAAAGAGGGCATCCACAAGCTGGGGCAAGGGCTGTCAGGGGGCGAGGCCAAGCGCTAGGGCCGGGAGACACAGGAAACTGCCCTGCCTCTTGGTGCTGGTGGAAAAAAAAATTAATATTATCTCGGGACCCGAGCGAACCTTATCCAACTGGCGCTTGCGTTGTCCAGTCGATGCATGCAGACTCGCATGGATGCGATCCGCCTCCGCCGGGCTGAGCCAGGGTGCAGGCAGGGGGATTTCCCCGGGCAGAGCGAATCCCGGCAGTGCCGGGACCAAGCCAGGTCCAGGGTCAGTACACCGACTCGCGGCAAGCTGGTTGACAAGTCCCGCGGCGGTGGGCGCATCAGCACCTCCGGCGCGAGCCTCACCAAGTAGCCCATCCACCATGGCACAGGTGGTCGGGTCGGCCGCAGCGTCGGGCGCCGTGGGGCGCGTCGTGCCGGAGTGGAGCATCTTGGAGCTTCTCAGGGGGGGGGGGGGGGGGGGGGCAGAGCAGACTTGGGAACAGCTGTGTAGGTGTCTGGGCAGAAGGTGGAAAAGGACCAAAGGAGGCGAGAGAGAAGGAGGAAGAGAGAGAGAGGGAGAGAGGAAGGTTGTGCCATTGGCCGGCCCTCCCTTCGGATCCTCGACAAGTGGCGGAGCCCAAAAGATGGCCGCAAATCGGCTTGATCGGCGCTAGATCGCGCCACACCCGGCATCCCCGGAGCCGGCCGAAGCCCTGTGCCCGATCACCGACGTGAGAGGCTGAAGGGCCTCTGCCAGTTTTCTCGTCCCCCCCTCTCGCTGGAGCCCGCGGAAGGGGCGCATCTGTCATTCATGACTTCAGAATGGCAGCTGACAGCGCACCGTCTAGAATCAGAACCAGAGCAATCTGGATCTCGTGAAAATAACATTCTAGAAGCGACCCGTGATTGGCCATGCCCCGCCGTTCTTCCATCCCTCACCTCCGTCTCTCAAGGACCCTGTTGCCTGCTCGTGCGGCGCCCTGTGTCCCCTCGGTCAGTGCCAGGCTGCGGAGGGCCATGCAAGGCATCTCCGTCTCACCCCCCCTGCCGGGGGGGGGGAGAGGGAAGGTATCCATCTGTCTTTGGGGGGGGGCGCTGATGGGCCTTTGGCCCTGCTGCTTGGCATGGTCATGTAGGGCGCCCGGGTGCATGCGTGTGTGTGATTCTCTCTCTTTCTCTTTCTCTCTCCGGCTGTGTGTGTGCTCGTGGGCCTGGTACACGCTTGCCCATCCGCACGCCATCGTGGAGGGGGCGCCGGGGGGGGGGGGGGGGGGGGGGGGGGGGGGGGGGAGGGTGCACGCACGGCAGTAAGCACCTCCGGGAAGGCGATATACTCGGCCTCTGATGTGATGAGGCCCGGCCTCACATAGTGCAGAGGCTCCTTGCTGGGCGCGCGGGGGGCCGTCTCCGGGGAGACCGGCGACTGTGGAGACCGCTCGGGTCGGGTCGGCGGCGGCGGTGCCGTCGCCTCCCCCCGACCGGGGGGGGGCATCGGCCTGGTTGGGGAGGGACTCTAGGGCCTCTCGGAGGGGGGGTGGTGGTTCTGGGGCCGGACGTGTGCTTCAGCCCGCGGGTCTGCCTGGCCACCGGGCTGTTGGTCCCCCTCCTTGCTCGCCCAGACCGGTGCACGCGCCAACATACACACACTAAAGGCGTGCTCGGCCGGGATCCGGGGCCCGGAGCGCCCCGGCGGATCAACCATCCTCTCTCCCCTCCGCCGCCGCCGCCGCCGCCCCCCTCCCCCCCTCCCGCCTTGTTTCGCTTCGCCTCGCCCTCGCCCTCCCCTCCTGCTCCTGCAAATACTCTTGCTCTCTTCCTCGCTGGCGACACCGGTCTCGCGCGCGCTCGGCTATCTCCGCCTCCGTTCTCCTCCCCTTATCTTCTGCAGGCACCGCTGCCACATCCTCTCCCGCTTCTCTCCTCCTCCCCTCCCTCATCCCCGTCTTCGATATCTCCTTCTCCAGGCGGTAGTGTGCGCGTTTGTCCTTGGCCTTCCCCTCTGCCTCCCGGTTCGCCGCCCCCCCCCCCCCCCGGACACTCACACCTGTCTCCTGCACGCCACCATCTCGCTTAGTGTGCCGAACGAGGGGGCACCCCAGCACGTGTCCCTCTTCGCCGCGCCTCCCCTCCGCCGCTTTCTCGCTTGCTCCTCCGCCTGCATCGGTATCTGTGAACGGTTCGTCTGCTTGGGCGCATGCCTTCCTATGTGTATATGAGCATGTCCTCCTCCGAAGATTGGATCTCCCCCCCCTCCCCTCCCGCTGACTCTGCTTGCCTCTTTGTTGCTCGTGTCTCCAGGCGCTCCTGGGCCTATGGCCTTCTTTTGCCGGCCACAAAAGTAGGGTAGTTGACTGGCATCGCTTTCTCCCTCCCGGGTGCCGCGAATGCTCCGCCACTCGATCTTTCTCTCGCGCGGCATCAGCCGGCCGAGTCATCCCGGTGGAGGTTTGCTCCTCCGGGCTCTCTCGACACAGGCCTTCCCCACCGACAATGGCACAGCGGACTCGCCATCATCTGACGGCCACGCGATCGGCCGCGACCATGAGCATGGGCCCGGCCCTTCCCAGGACTCGCAGGCGGCCTCCTCCTCCTCCTCCTCCTCTTCTTCTTCCCGGCGCGCTTCAAACGACTACGAGTCCGTCTACATTCGGCACTATGACCACTGGATACGGTCCAACGAAACGCAGTTTGTCCCCCCGCGGGATGTCCACTACCAGGAGTACCCGGTGTCGAGCAGCGTCCCGGGGTTCTCCGTGGTGGCCGAGGCCCCTGGCACCGAGGGGGTTTTCTCCCCCGAGGAGACCCAAATGCCGGAGATGCACCGGCTGCAAATCGAGGAGCATGACACCTACATCCTGGCCCTGACCCCGGAGCAGATCGTGGAGCCCCATCTGTCGGTGGCGCAGCTCCGGCGGTCCCTCCTCCGGCAGGACGGATCGCTTTTCATTCCGCCGGCTGGGCTGACCCCGGCCGAGGCCGAGGCCCTGGTCGACTCTCCCACCGCCCCGGCAGCCGAGCTCCTGGATCGCGAGGCCATTGATCAGGAAAACATCTTCTACCGGTTTTCCCGCAAGGGCGACGATCTGTTCAATGTCCGGCCGAGCTTCACCACCATCGGCCGGCTGCTGACCGAGAAGCATGTGCCTGCCGGCGAGGGCAAGGTGTCCTCCTGGTTCGGCCAGCCAGCATTGGAGGAGGCCCTGGAGCAGCATCGGCTGAATGCCCCCCTGCGCGAGCTGGTCAATGCCTGTCCTCAGTGCGGCCTCCACCCGGCCACGCAGTCTTGCTACCGGAACAGCCTGCCAGCGGTCCTGACGCCGGATTCCTCGGACCAGCGCCCGACTTTGGGGTCCATCATGCCGACGGTCGACTCGCCAGCGTGGATGCACGCCGGAGGGACCCTCTCGGTGGCCAAGACCCTGGGCCACCACACTACCCTCTCGACGCACGAGATGACCGGCCAGAAGCTCCTGCTGATTTCGGTGCTCCAGGGCGCCGAGCAGGCTCGAGCCGACTCCATCTACAGCAGCGGCTTCGATCGCCTCCCCTCCAGCATGATGGCCTATGTGCGGGAGGCCTTTGAGCGATCGCCCACCGGGCGGAATTTGGCCTCCTGGGCCGAGCGCCTGCTCGGGCCTTCCGATGCCTTGATGGCTACGATGGCCACCGCGACCGCGGCCCCGGCCGATTCCCTCTCCACGCCGGACACCGGTGGACGCGCAGGTGCTCCGCCGCCGGCCTCTGGTGCCTCGTCCCGGAGAGAGTCCCCTGCCGGGTCTTCCGGACCGGCTGCCAAATTGACGGACCAGCTTCTGGGCATCCATGATTTGGGCCTGGCCCATTCCGGGGCCCGGGATCTGCATCCCACCTGGTCGGACCTCGAGCACCGGCGTCTGGCCGAGAACATCCTCCTGCTGGACTCCCCCTCGCCGAATATCACGCAGCGAACGCTCTCTTCGACGGCCCGGCGCCAGAGCGGCCTGGCTGGCAAGGGGCTTTGCACCCACTGTGGCCAGCACTCCTCGGCCATGCCCTGTCCGGATTTGCTGCTTTCCCATGGCATGGTCTTCTTGCACAATACGGCCCTCACGCCGGAGGAAGTTCGTCGGCGGTTGCTGATCGACACCCGGGAGACTGATCGCCTCGGGGTGACGCACGTCATGTCGTGGCTCTTCTCGGCCCGGGGTTACATGGCCGGATCGAAGCCGGATCTCCTGCCGCGAGCCACGTCGAGCTCGACCCCGCCGCCGCCCTGCCCCGGGTATGGCATGTGCCTGGCATGTGGTGAGCACCCGGCGCATGAGCCCTGTCCCCGGCTATTGCAGCTGGGCGTGGCATATGTGGCCGACACGGCCATGGCCTCGGACGAGTATTTCGGCATGGTGGCACGCGGGGTGTGTCCGTCATGTGGTGGCGCGGCTCATGACCCGGTTCCCGGGTGGGATACCATCGAGGCCGAGGCCTTCCGGATGGCCACCAAGAAGCCGGATTCCTATGTGTCGCGGAACTTCCTCCGGCAGCCGGGGACCTTCTTCACGAGCTGGGCTCGCGGCGGGGTGGCCGTCTGCCCGGCGGCCTGGGACCGGCGCAACCGCATTGTCCGAGCGCATGTCTGGATGCAGGAGTCCATCCTGTCGGCGGTTTTGCCCGTGGTCCATCCGATTTTGGCGCCGGTGGTGTCCCGGTACATGCCGGCCCGGGAGCAGTGGTTCTATCCCCTGACGGCCGACGATCCGGCCAGCAGCTGGGAGACCAACTTCCGCGTGGATGAGTCGGTCCTGGTGGCCACGCGCCTCGGCCTGCACGGGGACCACTCTTCGTTGGAGGCCTTCCGGACCATGTTCGGCCCGGGGTCCCCACGCACGGCCACCTCCTCCCTTTGGCCGCAATGGCATCCGACCGAGGACATTTTGAGCCTGGTCCGGGAGGCCGGCCAGGCAGCGGTCAAGGCCCGTGGGCCGTTGGGCTGGCCGCATCCTCGTGTGCCCCCCATGCACTTGGCCCCGGAGACCATTCAGCGCATTCAGCAGGAGCAATTGCCGCCGCTGCTGGTGCAGGCGGCCCAGGCCGCGGTCAAGGTCCTGCCCCCGCATCGGGTGGTCCTGCAGCGGGTCCTGTCTCCGAGCATGCAATCGGTGTGCAATTACCAGCGGGACTTGCGCCGGTGGGCGCGGGCCGATCTCCTCCGGGCGTTGGATCGCTTTGCCCTGCGCTTCCTGTCCAGCCATGCGGCCCAGACGGCCATCGACTTGTGGAACTCGGTGAACTTTGTCCTGCCGCAGGTCCGTGGTCTGACCACTCGGTCATTGACGCTTCCCTCCTCGCAGGTGTCCTCCTATCCCGGGGATTACACTCCGCCGGAGTTGGAGGTGCAGGATACCTCGCTGGACTACATCTCCCGGGTGCAGGATCTGGAGCCGATCAACCATTGGCCCAGCCCGCTGCCGGAGGCTTTGGGCACGGCCCCGGCCAAGCCGGTCATCCTGGCCGACTCTTTCCTGGTTGAGGAAGACCCCCGGTATGGGATTTACATGCAAATGGTTCCGCCCAACAATCTGGACGGCCCGCGGCCCCCGCAGACCAGCCTCAAGTCGCCGATGTTCTTCCTCCGGCCGGAGGTGAGCTATGACACGGCCTTCAGCACCCCGCCGGCCGGCACCCTGGATGCCATGATCGAGTTGCACCGGATGCTGTGCCCGGTGTGTGGTTTGCACCCGCGCACCATCCAGTGCCCGTTGCCCAACCCGACGGCCCATGCGCTGCCGCCCTTCGTCGAGCCGCATCTGGCCCCCTGGCTGTCGGACATCGCCAACCCCGGGCACTTGGGCACCAACCCGCATGTGTCCCGCTGTGGTGGTGTCTATGATGTCGACCACCTGTGAGGAGGGGGTCCATCGACTGCCGGCGCCCTGCCTGCGGGGGCCCCCCCCCCCCCCCCCCCCCCCCTCCCCCTCCCCCCCCCCCCCCCCCCCGTATGCTGATGTGTACTTCTTCATGGTCTGTCTGTGCTAGACCAGCTGAGCATGAGGGGCCCAGCTTCTCCGGGGGGGTCGGCGGCCGGAGTGAGGGAGGCGTCGGGAGAAACATACGAGGGCATTGTCACGCACAACGTGAGCTGGCACATGGGCATGCCTTCGTGTCGGCCTTCTCCGCCGCTTTTGCTCAGGGCTCCCAAGAATGGCACGCCCCGTTGCTCCTCTCCTCCTCCTCCTCCTCATACGATAGATTCTTCCTCTTGTCCGAAGGTGGTGTCGATCCACTTCTTCGGTCAACCCTCGCCAAGTGCACGCGCGCATGTGTGCGTGCGATGCGCCTCCTACCATCTTTTCCTCTCCTCTCCCTCCTGCCGCACCTTCAGTCAACACTGCTTTGCCCTTGCCCTTGTGATATCCTCTCCAATATTACCTAGATCTTCCAGATGCGCGCTTTTTTGCCCCCTTGCGGTGGTTTCCGTCGGCCGCCGGCCTTTCCCTCTTCCTCCTCCTCCTCCTGTTGCATGGGCCGGTTTGTGTGTGTGTGTGTGTGTGTGTGTGTGTGTGTGTGGTCGCGTGCTCCCTTCCCTGGGATCCTGGCTGCCGCGCAGTATGTGAGGCAAGGTGTGGCCTTTTGTCTTGGCTTTGTGTCCGGGTGTTTGGCCAAGTCAAGGCACGTAGGGAGGTGGAGATGGAGACAGGAGAGGTCCGGAGGGACACACGCCACACCCGTGAGACAGGCTGCACACGTCCCCCCACATTCCATTCCCTTTCCATCGAATGGCTTGACCCGGGAATGAGTCCCGCTGCACTCCTCTGCCTGGTCTCTGCGCTCGTCCTCTCCGCATCGATTAATATATGTATGCATGCATGCATGTTTGTGCTCTCCATTTGACTCTCTCTCTCTCTCTCTCCCCCTCCCCTGCCACTGCCCCACCACTGATGTCCGCCTTTTGCTCAAGATAGAAGGGATGCACCCATCGGAAGGATATATTTCCCTTTTCGGATTTGGACATGCGTGTGCACATGCACGGAGAGGCGAGTATACGAGGGCAACATCGCAAAGCAAACAGGCAAGCAGCAAAATCGCGGATACCGCAGCGCGCGCACGTCTCCCTCCTGTCGCCTCATCCATCCGTTCTCCCTCCCCCGCCTGCCTCTTTCTTTGGGAGGACCGTACAACATGTCCCCCCCTCTAGGGGGAGAGGAACAGGCGAAGGAGAGGCTCAGGGGACGGAGCAGGCGGAAGGCGGGGTGGGCGGGTGGGCGATGGAGAGGAAAAGGGTGACAATACAAGACAAGGGCATTTACATGTCGGAGGGGCGGCTCGAGTTCCGGCTGACGTTCTTGGGCTCGGCCTTCTTAATCTCGATGCCCTGTATATGGGGATGTGGCGAAGAAGCCCGGCGGACCAACCAACCAACCAAGGCGCCACACGCACACAGTAAGAGAGCCCCCCACATGTACACGAGCATTTGGGAGTCGAAGTCCAGGGCGCGCCCGGCATGTTGTCGAAAGCGTGAGTGGGGGCAGTGGGCCAGCCCTGATCGGGGGTGGTCGAGCAAAACAACACTCAGCGAAAAGATCCCCCCACAATCACGACCATCGGAAAGGACCATCGCGCTGGCATCCGCTCACGGGCACCACACCAGCCTCTCTTTCCCTTTTTTTCGGTCTTTCTCTTGCCCCCTTTCCCCTGATCGCTTTGGTCGTCCCCCCTTGGCTGACGATCGCACTGACCCCGCTGTCCTGCTTTTCAGGGGGGCGGTTCTCTTCTCAGGTGGCACATGTGTCTGGATACGGACCTTCTTCCCGTCGATGTCCTGGAAGGAACGGGCGCAGGCCCGCTCGGCGGCCTCCTCATCGACGAAAACCACGAAGCCGAAGCCACGAGGCCGGCCGGTGGCTCGGTCATACATTAGGACCGCCTGCTCGACTGGGCCGAATTGCTCGAAGTGGCGACGCAGGCTGGCATCCGTCGTGCGACTTCCCAAGCCGCCGACGAAGATCTTGCGCACTCCGAGGTTCGTGACCGTCGGCGGGGTGTACTCCTTCGGGATGGCCAGCTTCGGGTCGACCTTTGGTCGATTCGGCAAGCGCGGATCCAAGCAAAGGGCGGTGATGTGTGTGTGTGTGTGTTTGTGCGGGGTGTGAGAAGGGGGCATGCCCGGGAAGATGGCACTCCACAGGAAGGTGCAAATTGAGAGCGCCCAGGCGCCTACGGTCCCGCCTTCCCCAGCAGTCTCTCTCTCTCTCTCTCTCTCTCTCTCTGCCCCCCCTCGCCCTCCTGCAGCTGGCCATTTGGCCCGGATGGTGTCTCACTTCTGAGCATGAGCATCGCATCTCCTTGGAGAGCCCAGATGTGCGTGGACGCGGCAGTGTGTGCATGCACCCATACATGCACATGCCCACTTGCCAGCGCGTGTGTGTGAATGTGGATGCCTGTGCGTGCGCGTGCGGCCGCCGGCGTACCTCCTTGCCATTGATAATGTGCGGCCCGTGGGACAGCATGACGTGCGCATCGGCCTCCTCGCGGAAAGTGACAAAGCCAAAGCCACGCGACCGCTGGGACTCGGGGTCCTTCATGACCACACTGTCGATGAGCTCCCCGAAGCGTGAGAAGTAGCAGTGCAGATCGTCTTCGACAGAGAGTAGCAGGGCAGGGGAGTCAGGGTACAGACACCAGGGGGCGCGGGCGCGGAGAGGCAGCGCGAGGGGTCATCGAAAGCATGAAGTCCCATCCCCCCCCCCTTGGGAAGGTGTGCTATGCACGCGCTCTCATCAGGAAGGCCGAACACAAGGTGTCGGCCGGAGGGAGGGCGCAAAAACCACGGGCCCACCGCGGAAAGGCGCCAAAGGGCACGCACCCTTGCTTGTATCCCAGCTCAGCCCGCCGACGAAGATTTTCCCCGGATGCGAGGGCGCTTGGCCGCTGCTGTTGGGCGGCGCCGGATTGGCGCTTGACGGCGGAACCGGGAACCCCGGGCCCGAGGCGCCGGCTGCCGACTGTCGGAAGGGTCCATTGCCCTTGCGCAGGCCGGCATCAAGTCCGGAAGTTGCGGCCAAAGTAGCCGCCGGCATAGCCAGCGAACTGGGGGCCATGCCCGGGGGCATGACGCCGGCGGCAGGGCCCGCCACCGCCGGCGGGAAGTAGGCCGCCCCGAGGAAGGCCCCTCCAGCGGCCAGCACCATGGGGTCCGTGTGGTAGTAGGCCGCCGGGGCGCCTGGGCCGGCGGCCAGGTGCAGGCCCATGGACGAGTTCAGCACCGGGATGAATTGGATGCCCGGCGGGAAGCCGGCGGTGGCGGCTGCTTGCGGATGCAACACCATCGGCGGGGGGTGGCCGCCGACAGCCAGAGCCGCGGCCGTGGTGGGGACCGCGGGTGCGGCATCGACGGACGTCTTGCCGCCCGGGCGAACGCCGCTCGGGGTCGCCTGGACCGCGATTTCGCGTGGCCCGGCGCCCGGACCGCCGTTGCCAGGCCCAGCACCACCACCACCACCGCCGCCGCCGCCGCCGCCGCCACTGCTGCCAGCAGGCAAGACCACCTGCAGGATGCGCTGACCGCTGGATGGCTGTGTCACGACCGTGACCGACCCCGGCACCGGGGTCGCCGTGGGGCCTGCCAGGCCCGAGGCCTTGCGCATGGCCGCCGGGACCGGCGGGCTGGGTGGCCGGAAAACGCGACGCCGAGCGGCCGGCGTCGACGCCTCGGCCGTCACTTCGGCCCCCTCGCCGGTGGCGCGGTGCCCCGCCCCCGGGGCTGGTGCCGCCAGCGCCGACCCCTCGGCCGCCGGCAGGTCGTTCTCCGAGGAAGAGGAAGAGGCGGTCAAGGCCAGCTCGATGGTTTCCTGGCTGCTGGCGGCCCGGAGGCGCTGTGGCGCAGGGTCGCCGGCCGGGGCGGCCGCCGGGGCTGGCCCCAGGCCGGGGCTGGGGCTGGGACTATGCGACAGGCGGATGTTCAGCGTGTCCAGAGATTGGCTGCTGCCGTGGGGGGAAGTGGCCGACCCGAGGCCATCGGTGTCCAGGTCGACATGGCGATCATCCCGGCCATCGTGCTCGTCAGCATCCTGCTGGTGGCCGCCGGGGCTGGCCGAGCCGCCATGTGGCAGGAGGTGCAACGCGCGGCGGTCGGTCATGCTGGCCATGGAGTTGTATCGGCGGATGGCCAGCAGCCGGGTGGAGGAATTGGCCCCAGGGCCAGTGGCGTGGGTGGGCAGCGTGTCGGATGCCAGGGCCATGGTTGCGGCCTCGTTGGCCATGTCCTCGGGCAGAGCCCCCGGCGTGGGCGAGGAGGAGGCAGCGGTTCCCCCGACGCCGGCGAAGCCGCCGGTCGAGCTTTGGGGCGACCGGCGCCAGGATGACCCCGCGACGGGAGGCAGCGTGGCCGCGGCATGGGCCCCTGTGGCCGACACCGTGCGGCCAGCCGTCTGGGCGGCGAAGGGCTCCGGCGACCAGGAAGGCCCACTGCGCATCGGCGACATGCGCCCCCCGCCGATCAGCGTCTGTGAGAGGCTCCAATTGAGCCCGGCCCCACTGCCGGCAGCGGTGCTGCCCCCAGCCAGGGAGGGAGAGCAGGAGGATGCTGCGACAGTGGCGCCAGGTGCAGCGATAGATGAAGCAGTAGCCGAAATGGCGGCGGCGGCGGCGGCGGCGGCGGCAGCGGCGGCAGCCGCAGCCACCCCCGGCAGCGGTGGCAGGTTCGTCGAGTGGGGGTATGCCAGGAAGGGTGACGAGGCGGCCGAGCTGGCTGCCACGGCATCGGCCCATGACCCCTCCGCCGGGGGGGCAGCAAGTGCTGTGCAGATGCCGGTGGCCGGTGCACTGGCCCCCGGGGGGAAGCCCCCGGTCCGGTGCGGCGGCCTCGGCTGCTCATACCCCAGGGCGCTGTCGGTGGCTGTGGCGCCGCTTTCGCCAGGCAGCAGGATGTCCCCGCCGAAAGGGCGAGCGGCATCAGCCGAGTCGCCGGGGCGCGGGCCCACCGGCGACGGGCAAGTCAGACTGGTGTGAGCCGGCAGCGGGCAGCTGTGGATCAGCTCCGACATGATCTGGGTGATGTGCCGACCGCCATAGAGCCCGACGGGGCGCTCCTCCGGCGAGGCATCGCCCTTCTATTGGATGCCAAACAGCGGCGGCCGGCCCGAGGAGGTGCCATGGAAGGGTTCCCCGCCCCCCCCCCCACGAACGCAGGGTGACCGTCGATAGCATGGATGGTGTGTCCGGTAGTCAGCATTGGGGACTCGCCTGCCAGAGCCCCTGGGACACACAGCATGTCGGCACCCTGGGCGGGCCGGCCCATGCGCCACAAAGGGCAACACCAAAGGGCAGGACACGGGAGCAAGAAAGGGAAGAAGGAAAAGCCCGACTCCCTCGCCAAAAGCCCGGCCCGGGGGGGGGGGGGGGGCGTGTCATGCAGCGGCGTACCTGGGTGGCGGCGTCGGCCGCCGGGCACCAGCGCCCGCCCGGGGCCCGGACATATTCGGTGCCGTCGGCATCAGCGGGCAGGTCCTCGCTCAGGGTCAGAGTCCAGATGTTGCTACCTGGCGAGCCGGAATCACTGTCAGCCGATGCCGAGGCCAGCAGCGCCTGGCTGGATTCCGGCGTGGGGCTGGTCGCGCAGGCGCGCGGGAGGCCCATCCCGCCAGGCGGGGTCTGGCCATCCGCGACAGCGGCCGCCAGCATCCCCGGTGTCGAGGTCCCCTCGGCCAGGTGGCCGGGCGTGCCGTAGGTCAAAATGTCCAGCGCATGCTTTCCTTGGAGGATGCCGGGCGAGCGCATCGGGCACCAGGCCAATCCTCCGGCCGGGCCGGCGAACCCCTCGCCGAGGCCCGCGGATTCGACGCGCGCCGTGGCCACCGCCCTCGACGACGAGAAGCAGGCGACGGGCGAGTCGCCGAGCGGAGCTGGGCGTGCGCGGGGAGTCCCCTCGTCTGCGGCGGCGGCGGCGGCGGCGGCGGCGGCGGCGGCAGCAGCAGCGGCGGCGGCAGCGGCGGCAGCCGTGGCCCCAGCGGCCGCCCTGTCCATGGTTTCTACGGACAGGCAGTCCGGCAGATCGCCGGTGGTCTGGAGCTGCAGCTGCTGCCGGGCAGGCGTGGCCATGTGGGCGGAAGGCTCGCCAGCGTGGTAGATGCCGAGGGAGCTCGCGGAGGCGGTGGCCGAGGCGCCCTCCCTACGGAAGCTGGTCAAGAGGCCGACGGCGGTCGAGTCGTCGGCGGCCGGGGTCGAGCGGCTGCCGGACCTTTCGGCCAAGGGGTGCGTCGAGGCCCCACCGGCGCCGACCACCGGCGAGACCACCGGAGTGGAGAGCTGCACCGAGCGGATGAGCCGCTCCAAATCGCCCTTCTCGCCGGCCGGCGTGCCGGCCCATTCGAAGGTGAAGGCCCCCGGCGAGGGGCCGGTGAAGGTGACCACCGACGAAGAGGAAGCCGACCCGGGGGCATTCGGCGCGGCGGGTCCCCGGCCAGCGGGCAGGCCCTCGGCCTCGACGCTGGCACCGGGCGCCCCGAGCGACGACGAGGCACTCATGGCCAGGGTGACGGTCGAGGCGGAGGCCGACCCGCCGGGCGTGTCATCCGGCGAGCCGGACGCGCTGGCGGCCGACCGCGCAGAGGCACCGGCGGCGCCCGGCCCGGCGGCCGCCGCAAAGGCCGCCGCACTTCCGAATGTCACCGGGCCGGCGTCCGGGGTCAAGCCGCCCGGGTGCTGGGCCCGGCCCATGCGCCGCGTGCGAAGGTCCTCCGCCGGGCGCATCTTGCGCAGCTCGGCCGCTTGGAGATCCGGCGACAGGCCGCCAGCGGGCCCGGCATTGGCGGGCGCATCCGGCTGGCCGCCATGCGCCAGGGGCTCTTCGATGCGCGAGTCCGGGGTGTGGAAGAAGTCATCGAGAGCCTGCTCGGGCACGCACTCGCCGGCCAGCTCGGCCGTCGACGCGGCCGAGCTGGCCGGGTCCAGCTGCTTCTCATCGATCAGACCCTCGATCTCGGCAGCCATGCCGCCCAGCGGGGATAGCTCCAGAGGCGTGGCCCGGTCCAGGGGGTCGGCCTGCTCCTCCACGTCGCAGGGGTCCGTGCAGGACAGCGGCGAGGGCGACCCGCTGATGCAGGCCGCCACCTCCATCAGGCAGACGGGCACCGAGCTGCCCCCGCTGGAGGGGCACTTGCAGGGGATGGCCGTGACGGCGGCGGACGCCGCGGCTGCGGCCGCCGACCCCGACGACAAGCTCATGCGAGGGCATCCGCCGCCACAGGGCACCGCTGGCATTGCGGGCGCGCGTGCATCGACGTGACCGCGCGAGGGGGTGCCCAGCCACCACCAGAACCCGGGGAAGTTCGTCGCGGAGCGTTCGCGGGTTAGTGGTCGCACGGGCAGCAGCCCGGCTGCTCGGGCGGTCGTCGTCCTGCCCAAGTGCAGATCTTCGCCATCCCCGTTGTCCTGGCTTTCTTCTGCCTCTTCTTCACCTTCCCTTGCTCCCCTCCCCCCCTCCCTTTTCCCCTGGTTGCGAGATCCCCTTGCGTGGAGCTGGTTGCCCTTGGGCGGGAGATTCCCTACTCGGTGGCGGCCTGGCAATCGGCCCAGAGCCGCCCAGGACCAGTTCAATTATTATCATGCAGGCGCCCGGCCCTGGCGACGTACCGGATGGTCCTCCCAGATGTCCGGTTGACATGACGCGAGGCGAGCCCTCCAAGTGGAGGGAACAACCCTGTGCTGGAACGGGCGCGACAGAGTCGGCCACGGTGGCGTGGGGCAATATGACAGGGGCTAAGCGCGGGCGGGAAAGGGCGGATCCTCTCACTGCAAGGGCATCTGTCTTGCTTTCGGGCAGGGGTGCACGGGAAAAGGGGTCCGGGAGCCGGGGCGGTGACGGTCGAGAGCGAGGGCGAGGGCGAGGGCGAGAGCGAGAGCGTGGCCTATGGAGGGGTGGCCATGTGTGCCAGTTGGAGGAGGGGGCAGAAAAGAGTCTTGAGGGAGAGGGCGGGGGGGGGGGGGGGAATGCATAAAGGAGGAGGAGAGCGAGGGCCAGTGGCGTTTTGAGATCGCCCGGTGCTTGGGGCTGCGCAGGGGGCCGCCGGAAGAATGGCTTTTGCCTCGGCCCCTCGGAGCCCCTCGGGCATTGCGAGGAGCGGCCGGCGAAGGAGGGGCGTGGGAGGCCGGCTGGGCGCGGGTGCGGGTGCGGGTGCGGGTGTGTGTGTGGGGGGGGGGGGACTCGGAGGAAGTAGGGGGGCGCCAGACGGCCAAGGGGGCCTGCGATCGGTCCGGGCGCGGGAGAGGAGGGTGGCATGTGCGGCCCACCACCGCGCCCTCGCCCCCTCCCTGCGATCCGCTGCCGCCGGGCCGCGATCCACCGGGACCGCCACGCTGGGCGTGGGGTCTTTGCGGGGGCCAGGATCTACCTGCCGTCGTTGCTCCTCTCCCTCGCCCGCCCCCCCCCCCCCATCCTCCCCCAGGGGGGACGGCAGGAGCCTCTTCGCCTGAGCGGCAAATACCAGTCCCATGGCCGTGATGGTGGCAGCCGGACAGCCCCATACGCACTGCTGCCATGCGAACAGCCGGCGTCTTTACTCCAGGCAGCTAGCGCTCGACGAGACAATGCAGCCCAGGTGGGACCCGCCGGGGGGAGGCATATGCCACCCCGTCAAAGTTGACGGGATCCTTGTGCCGGATCCTGGTGCGATCTCCGCCATGGCGTGCGGGCGGCAGCGGGAGCAGGCGGGACCTGGTGGGCTGTTTCCCGGCTGTGCCCGATCGCCCGAGAGATAGAGGGGCTGGCAAAAACGCCTGCATGCCGGCCGAGGGAGAATGCCCGCCCTGGCGGGGGAAGGGGGCAGGGCGCCTGAGGCCGACCGATGGCATGTGGCTATCGACCCCGGGTCGGAGAGGGGCTAGTCACCGCGATGTCCGCGCTGCAGGGGAGTCGGGCGTGCCCGAAGGGCGATTGCGGGGTTCGGCAGGCGGGCCCCCGGTCCATGGGCCGGCTCACCGGCCCTGCTTGGTGACAAGATTCCCCTCTCTTGCGCTCCTTGGTAAAATCGGCATATCGAGCCAGAGCGCGAATCGACCCCTGGCACTCGAGGTAGCGGCCCAGGCCGGGCTGCCCGGCGAGCCTGTGCCGGCCAGAAGTCCCCCCCCCCCCACACACACGTACACACAGACACAGACACCCACGCAACTGTCGAATGTTTCCCATGGGGTTCCCTGCCTGCGCCCGGCAGGAGGAGGGCCCACGGGCGGGAAAGAGGCATGCCGCCCGACGGGGCCATTGTGGGGAAAAAGAGCCGGCATTGGCGGGGGCCGGGAGGGGCGCTGGGAGTTGCGGGGTATGTGTTTACGCTCCGCCGCCGCCGCCGCCGCCGCCGCCGTCTCCGCCTCCGCCAGGCTCGGGCGGAACTTGCCCCGGGGGGGGGGGGGGGGACAACGGCATCAGCCTCGCCGGCGGCCGGAAGTGGCCTCCTGACAGGACTTTGGTCCGTTGGCTGATGCCCGCGGCACCTGGAGACAGGCCAGGCAGTCGTCGGCCAGGGACCGCGAAAGGACGCGCGGGCACCGGGGCGGCGGCCCAAGGTGAGCCACGCCTTCCGGTCGCCGCCGGCATGCATTCGAAGAGGGCCAGAGTGCCGGCCCGGCCAATTGCGGGCCAATCAGCCGGCAACAGGGGCATGGAGAAGCACCCCGCGTACCGGAGCGCGGGCCCCGTTCCATGGGCTATCTCTGTCGGAATCGCAGCTATTGCCCCGGGAGGAGATAGGGCCGCAGCCGGGGCCAGGGGGGGGGGGGGGGAAGAGGGTAAATCGTGCACGCGCACACCAATCCCATGTCTCTGGGCCAAGGGCCGCCGGGGCGTGTCGGACTCGCCCCGGCAACAATCGCCTTGGAACATGGGGTTCGCTCCTCCCGCCCTCACCGAGCAGCGGGAGCACGGGCCCACGAACTCGGGGGGGGGGGGATCTATAGACACAGGCCACAAGCGGACCGGGCCGTTCCCCCCACCGGTTCCCAAGGGGGCTCTGCCGGAGACACTCATGGACCGAAGTGCTGGAGCACTTGGGAGCTAAAAAAATAAAACGAAAAGCGCGAAAAGAGGGAAGCAGGCAGTTTGGGGAGCCCTCCCCCGCTTTCCGGGGGGGAGAACCAATCCCAGGGGTCGGGCGAGCCGGGGTCGAAACCCTTTTGGGGAAGAATCCCGTGAGATCCGATGCGTGCGCGATTAACATTTAAACTGAAGTGCCCAACCGCATGTTCGCTGAGGCTCGGTCGGGGGAGGAGGAGGACGCGCGGGGCCAGGATGAGCGAAAAATGGTCAATTTGTAGGAGTGCCAATGTTCCTTGTATCACTGGGCGACTCCAAGAGCACATGGTACATGTGCGTGCATCCTTGCGTGAGCGAGCGGGTGCAACAAAAAACACAGGAAGAAAAGGACAGCGAAAGCTTGGGGGAAAAAGCTCCCAAAGGGGGAGTTGACTGAGCATGGGCGGAGTGGGGGAGGGAGAGGGAGAAACATGATGTATTTGTGGTTTGCGTATTCGTTTGAGAGAGGAAGAGCGGGGGGGGGGGGGGGGAGAAGGGGGGGCATGGCACACCCGACAAGGGAGGCACCAAGCGTGGAAGAGGGAAGGTGCTCCTGCATGAAAGTGTAGGTGTGCCACCGTGTACAGGAGGGCACACTGAAATGACGCATCGGCGCATACACACATGCACTCAGACACATGTACATGTGCACATGGCTGAGGGAAGGGTGTGCTGGGGTGGACATCAGAAGGCGAAGATAAAGGAGAGGGGGGGGGAGAGAGAGAGGGTGGCACACGGCTCTCAGGACAAGGGTGGGGATGCTCTGCTTACAGATCGGAGTAGGCAAGGTGGCCACCGCTGTTGCCACCGAGACCGCCGAGGAGGGAGGCCAGGAGGCCGCGAGCACGGCTGAAGGCCAGGAACAGCGAGCCGAAGTTGAGGATCATGGAGAAGAAGCCGAAGGCGGCGGCAGCGCGGGGGGTGCTGTGGGCAGAGGGGACACGGCGGGAGAAGGGCAAAGATGGAGGGAAGGGAAGAAAGGGGAGAGGAGAATGGTCAGAGGGGGTGCGGGGGGGGGGGGGGGGGGGGGGGGGGGGGGGGGGCAGGGGAGAGGGGCAAGTCCCGGAGAAGCGGCAGCGAGGGAGGGGGACACTCGACGCCAGGACATACCTCAGGGCAATGCCACCGACGGCAGTCAGAGCGTTGACGTAGACGCAGAAGAAGGTGAAGCCGAAGAACCAGAAGATCGAGAAGACAGCGAGCGAGAAGAACTCAATGACCGGCCAGTTCTGGGAGAGGACCTGCGGGGCCACGAGCTCCGGGCGGAAGTAGGACCCGAGGAAAACCATGTCCAGCAGCCAGGACACCACGCCGGTGAAGATGAAGAACCCGCGGTGGCTCGAGGCGAAGGGGGAAGCCGCGGCAGCGGAGAAGGCCACCAGCGAGCAGAACCAGCTGGCCGCGCGCAGGAGAACCTTCAGGTCGGTCTGGGCCGGCTGGACGACGGCGA